GGACAATTCGAGGATATGTGACCGAACCCATGACATTTGAAGCATCTTATACTGAATGTAGTTCCTTCCCTTGTTGTGATAGCAGTCTCTCACGGCTGGAAAGCAGTTTTGATGTAGTTTTCAACTTTTTAGCCATCGGCCTGTGCCCATAATTGAAATGATTTACCGGAACCGTCCAAATCATTGGTAAAAATGCATATTGGGGCGTTCCTACCCAATTTATATTGTTTTTCAACCTTCACCGCCAAGTTAATAACATCCTGTAATGTCCAGAACAGTTGGATTTGAACCACATTAGCGATAAATGGTCATAGACCACCCACAACATGTGCAATAGTGTGTTGTTCAGGTTCAAAAAGATTGCACTTCAATCCTGACTGTTTGAATTCAGTGATATATTCCTCAACGGATAATTCTTGTTAATGAAGGTTATGAAACCGGATAAAGACTTTTTGTCGGTAATGCTCGGGCAAGAATTTTTGTTACATTCTTCATTTTGGTCAAAAATGTGATCTTGGATCTTCCATCTCTTTGTTGAACCCTCTTCAAGTTTTCCCACAAAAGTAAAACATTTTTCTTCAATTTGATGACCACCAGTTTGATGATATGTTCTTGTGACACCTCTTTGAATTCTAGAATGCGTTCAGCTGTATGTAGCAAATTAACAAATTCATCGGGATTCAATCTTCCAAAAAAATCAGGAATGTCGATTTTGATTATAAAATTTGGAGGTTTACGTCGATTTTCACGCCTTAACATACGTAGAGGTTGTTTATCACCATTAAATATCTCTTGATGAAATGGGTTATCTTCTTCCAAGCCGATCACCACCTCATTTCCATATTCATTTTGGCATTCCTCTAGATCTCACCATTCAATAAGCACCAACCTTGTTCATAGATGACGAATTTCTTGTTGCAATTCTTCCACAACAAAATCTCACCATTCAATAAGCATAACTAAATCTCTTGTTGCAATTTTTGTTGCAATTCTTCCACATTATTCCTCCTTAGCAAAATCTTCAATTGCTTTTAGTCACCGGAAAAGAGAAAAATAACGGCTATAGACCTATAGGAGAAAGGAAGATAGTGACAGTTGAAACCATGAGCCTCAGATCCGGGATTCCTGATCACAGAACCTCCAAAAATCTGGTGGAAAAATAGAAAACCAGAAATCTGGAAACCTGGAATTGTAAAACAGCAAGACTGCAAAACAGTTCTTGCAACCATCAAAATGCAGAAATCAGGAAAGATCTAGACTGAATTCTAGAGAAAGGAGAATTCAAAAATAAATGGAAGAAAAAAAGGATGAGATGCACAAGAATTTGGAGAAGGAAGAGATAAGATGTGCAAGAACCGTGCTCTAAAACCAAGATAATACAGTAACAAGGTAAAAATGGAATCTACAGTTTCAAAAATTTCAAAAAAGAAAGAAAGTAGGACCAAAGAACCCAAGGAAGAGAAAGAATGCACTAAATGAATGGAGAGATGACTGATCATCACCGGGCACCACTCCAAGGTACTAAATACACTTCTTAACCCGAGAGGATGCGTGAAAGGTTATTATAACTAATCAAAAACTCTCTATATCCCCTTCTAACATATAAGGCTGCCTCATACAAGCAAACCCTCAACAAAAACAAAAAACTAAGAAAAGAGACTTAATTACAAGTATAATTACTAAAAACGTAATAGTTTCAGCTCCTGCATCAGACAAGCTCAAATTGATGCTGCTAATGACAAGCCATTGGTCCCTTCAAACCAATTGATGTCGATGCAGGCTGATTTTACAACTGTTGGCATTGCACCTAATCGTAATAAACACAAGAAAATTCCCACACTAAATCAACACTTCCATGATAATGACAGAGACAATTTGGAAGATGTTGAGTTTGTTGATGTGCTTAAAAGGATTTGTTGGCTTGCACAATCGAACGAATCTTACCTACCCAACCACCCTGCCTGACACAACAACAAGCAATCTTTCGGACATGTAACGTCTTAAAGAAGGTCTGTTATGTGATCATTGATGATAGCAGTTGCAAAAAATATTCCGACAAAAATAGTGGTCGGTGCCTTTAATTTACCCACCACGAATCACCACGGGATGTATCGATTAGTTGGATCAAGAAAAGGGATGAAATGAGCATAAGCAAGATATGTGGAATTCCCCTGTTGTTTGGAAAGCACTATCAAGATGAAATTATTTACAATACCATAGACATGAATGCATTGCACAACCGGCGATATGATGTTAAGATTGTTCATGAGGGAAAGAAGAACAATTATCCTTTACAGTGGAATGAAAAGAAAATTGTTCTTCTACCCTTTTCTTCTTAATCAGATCATGAGCTCGGTCTTTCATTTCGATCACTCACTAAATCCAAGGATGAATTCAAAGCTAAACTTAAACAAAGTGATAATGTGCAAAAGCTCCTAACACTAACACTTTTAATGTAGCACTTGAAATTACAACAGAACAACTGGTTGAATATCCAAATCTTAGAGGCACAAATATTCCCATCGAGTTTCCTCCCATACGGGAAGAACATCATATAGACTAAATTTGAGCTTGGAGTACCCTAAATTTGCTGCATTATTGCGAATCATACTAGTATAGATTACCAACCCCCAAACCCAAATGCATCAAGTAAACTTTCTCATCAATTCCAAAGTACATAAGGCTTCACTTCCATTGATCTTAGCACCATTAAATATCTCTTGATGAAATGGGTTATCTTCTTCCAAGCCGATCACCTCATTTCCATATTCATTTTGACATTCCTTCAGATCTCACCATTCAATAAGCACCAATCTTGTTCATAGACGACAAATTTCTTGTTGCAATTCTTCCACAACTAAATCTCACCATTCAATAAGCACAACTAAACCTCTTGTTGCAATTTTTGTTACAATTCTTCCACATTATTCCTCCTTAGCAGAATCTTCAATTGCTTTTAGTCACGGGAAAAGAGAATAATAATGGCTATAGACCTATAGGAGAAAGGAAGATAGTGACAGTTGAAACCAGAAGCCTCTGAATCTGGGATTCCTGATCACAGAACCTCCAAGAATCTAGTGCAAAAATAGAAACCCAGAAATCAGGAAACCTGGAACTGTAAAACCGCAAAACTGTAAAACAGAGCTTGCAACCACCAAAATGCAGAAAACAGGAAAGATCTAGACTGAATTCTAGAGAAAGGAGAATTCAAAAATAAATGGAAGAAAAAAAAAATGAGATCAACAAGAATTCGGAGAAGGAAGAGATAGGATGTGCAAGAACCGTGCCATGCTCTGAAACCAAGATAATACAGTCACAAGGTAAAATTGAAATTTACAGTTCCAAAATTTTCAAAAAAGAAAGAAAGTAGGACCAAAGATCCCAAGGAAGAGAAAGAATGCACTAAATGAATAGAGAGATGATTGATCATCACCTGGGCTCCACTCCAGAATACTAAATACACTTGACCCGAGATGATACGCGAAAGGTTATTATAACTAATTAAAACTCTCGGTATCCCCTTCTAACATATAAGGTTGCCTCATACAAGCAAACCTCAACAAAAACAAAAAAACTAAGAAAAGGGACTTAATTACAAGTATGACTACTAAAAACATAATAATTTCAGCTCCTGCATCAGACAAGCTCAAATTGATGCTGCTAATAACAAGCCATAGGTCCCTTCAAACCAATTGATGTTGACGCAGGCTGATTTTAAAATTGTTGGCATTGCACCTAATCGTAATAAAAAATAGAAAATTCCCACACTAAATCAGGACTTAGATGATGATGACAGGGACAGTTTGGAAGGTGTTGAGTTTGTTGACGTGCTTTAAAGGGTTCGCTGGCTTGCATAATCGAACGAATCTTACTTACCCAACCGCCTTGCCCGACACAACAACATGCAATTTTCGGACATTTAACATCTTAAAGAAGGTTTGTTATGTGATCATTGATGATAGGAGTTGGAAAAAATAATCCGACTAAAATATTGGCCGGTGCCTTTAATTTACCCACCACGAATCACCACAGGATGTATAGATTAGTTGGATCAAGAAAGGGGTGAAATGAGCATAGGCAAGATACGTGTAATTCCCCTGTCGTTTGGAAAGCTTTGTCAAGATGAAATTATTTACAGACATAGACATGAATGCATAGCACAACTTACTTGATCAACCATGGCAATATGATGTTAAGATTGTTCATGAGGGAGAGAAGAATAATCATCCTTTACAGTGGCATGAAACGAAAATTGTTCTTCTACCCTTCTTCTTAATCCGATCATGAGTTCGGTCTTTCATTTCGATCACTCACTATACCCAAGGATGAATTCTAGGCTAAACTTAAACAAAGTGATAAAATGCAAAAGCTCCTAACACTACCACTTTTAATGTAGCACTTGAAATTACAACAAAACAACTGGTTGAATATCCAAATCTTTGAGTTACAAATATTCCCATCGAGTTTCCTCCCTTACGGGAAGAACATCATATAGACTTAATCCGAGCTTTGAGTACCCAAAATTTGCTGCATTATTGCGAGTCATACTTGTATAGATTACCAACCCACAACCCCAAATGCATCAAATAAACTTTCTCATCAATTCCAGAGCACATAAGGCTTCACTTCCATTGATCGTAGCCCTAATTTCCCCACATATCTATCCCTTCTGTACTCAAACCGAATGAATGATGAACAAAGGAAGCGGCGAACCGACCTTGGAAAATTATTCGCTCTCCGCAAACTTAAACGCAACGTCAAGGCATCCGAAGAGGACTAGTCGGAGATCCTCAGAGCTATTCTCCAAAGACCTTGCCAACTCCTCAAATGCCTCCACCACAGCCGACAGCGGCGTCTCCACCTCCGCCTCCTTGAATGAATCCGATAACTAAAAGCAGCATTCCCCTTCCATCATTGGCCAGAAAGGAAAATGAGAAGAGATCTCTATATCACGTTTTGAGGATTGCAAGATAAGAGTAGAGAAAGAGGCAGAAAAATACTTTGGGGAGCGGAGGGAGAGCGCCATGCGGGGCCAATACACAGACCATCGTGCGGTGTTGCTCGCCACTCCTCGATTCGCCGGGTGACGGAACGTTTGTCTCCGGCTCGGTACATGCCATTATATTTTTGGGGAGTTTACAAACATACCACAACTAATTATTCTATTTACATATCTAACACCTAAACTAATTATTTTCCATTCTGCCACCTGAAACTTTTCTATTCACCGTTAACAAATCCTTGTGGGCGATCAAAACTCGTGCTCTCCATTCAATGAAACCAAGCCAACAAGTGTTAGGCAAGCCAACATAGCCAATTGGGGGCAACTGATCACTCAAGCTAGTCCAGCTATGTATAGTTCACTCAAGCCGACCAAGTGCATGTTAACAACTCAAGCAAATCAAGTTCAATAAAGATATGCTAATGGTTATTTGATGAAATCAAGTTTCTATCTCACAAAATGTATCATTTATCTTTTTGGTCCATAAATTTGCTTAGAAAGAGATATACAATGCTCCACCCTTTTAAATTCAAATGTCGATATCAAGTAAAACTAGCCAATTTAACCCTAGCCAAGTGATCACCTCTGCCCTGAAACAATCTGTTTCATGTGTGCTCCTTATCTTTTTTGCTTAAGGTAGAAGTACCAACAATTAGAGCATCGAATTGTTTTCTCCTCTCCGCAAACCCAATCTTTCTTAGTCGTTGAGCATTTCTTCTTCTATTTTAGGAAGCCATGGCCATCAACATTCTTCTTCCTTTGCTCTTTTAGCTCCATTTTCAGTCATAAACAACAAACAACCTTCTTCTTCCTTTTTTTCTCCTTCTATCAATACTAATCATCCCACCCGATTAATGTTCATTAGATGTCTCACCATCAAACTTAATAAAAACTCATAGGCATCCACATCTTCCTCTACATTTTTATCTCTCTTTTTAGCTCATAATCAAATTTACATGAGTTGTTAGTTGGTGTTACATTTTTTGTGTAATAACTTATATAGCACTTGAAACATTATGATTTATAAATCAAGCACCATTTTTCATCCATTTTTTAAATTCTCACTCAAATAAAAATTCTTAATTATTCAATCGTTTCACACGTAAATGCATCAGTTAAGTAGTTAAAAAAAAGTATGGGTGCTAGTTTTATAAATAGTGATATTTTGAGCGATACATATGTTATTTGGGCTCAACTTTGATGAAGTTTAGATTGGACTTATTATTCTCAAATCAGTTTTATTAATAGTTGATTAGGTTGAGATTATATTAATGTATTAATATTTTGTATAGTTTTCTTTTAAATATTATTTAAGTAGTGCTCAGCTTCGCTGCAATCTAGCTAATCTTGACTTGATTAATAACTTTAATTCATGTGTGTAAACTCAAATAGATTTAACTTTTATATGTTTCACTTGCTCAATACTTTAAGATGCTTTCATGTGCTAAGTAAGAATTCATGTCTGTAGAATCTTTCAGTTAAGTTCTATATTGTTGAGTGAATCTATAACAAAATTGGGTTTCCATAGTAGGTCTTTGGTGGTAAGCAATTATATTTCTATACGGATAAATGTATTCTTTATTGTTAAAGATGTTATGCTTATGACTTATATTAGTTTTCTATATATTTTATAAAATTGTAAGTAATTCCTTTGTTATTCACATATTTGTTGCATAAATATTTTAGATTTTTTTTGTGTGCTCAAAATGAAATGAAAAGTTACTTGGTAGTGTAGTTGCCTTAATGTATTGTTAAATCTATACTTTCAATTAATTTATGTAATTGCAATATTTATTTTGTATGAACATCATCTCTATTAAATGATTAGATTGTATCCTACTAATCATTTTTTGATATGTAAGCACTAGTAATATTTTTTGATAACTTTATGTTAATTATTTGTTGGTGATGTGTGGAATGTGCATGTTTTTTATAAGAATACTTGTATTGGTATTGCCCTTTTTATTAACTCAGAGTAATCATTGGATTATTATTGAATTGATACATACCTTTTATAATATGTATGTGTGTATATAGCACATGATTATAAGCATAATTGTATTAAATACTTTTTGCATATATGGAATTCATTAATGTTGCAATACCACAACAGCTTCGATGATTAGATAACATTGCTATCCTACTAGTATATGGTGCTTGTTATTATTTTTTGTTCATTCTATTTGTCTCAATGGTTTATCATTTATGCTTTAACATATAAAAATTATTTGTTAGTTTTGATTTATCAAAGTCATTCATTGTAACCTCTCTTGTTGTAGGTTCTATTTGGTTGCTTGATGTATCCTCATTACAGAAATAGTTCTTCCAAGAATTGAATATAGTTGCACAAGATGATGGAAGGTGCAAAGATTAAGTGTGAATGTATTTTGAGTAAGATAACAAGTATTTTAGAAGATTAAATATGAATCAATCTTGAGTTGATAGCCACCAATCTTAAGAAACTAATCAAGTATTAGATCTTTTATGAGCTTTGTAATTGTATGGTGGCTAGAAATGATTGTATGAGAAAAATGTCAAGTGAGCTTTTGCATAAACTCTAATAATATGCAACTCACATTCAACTCAGCATGATAAATAACTGTTGAATTTGACTTCTTACATGAGAGTGAGCACACTTCATTGAGAATTAAGAAAATAATTCTTGCTCAATATATATATATATATATATATATATATATTTAAGTATTGCCTAACTTGGGTTGTAATGACAATAAGGAATGATTTTGCAACTTTCTCTACTCGGTTCGACATGTTTTTTCACGCTCTTCTTAATTCCACTTCAAATTTTGGCCTATCCACGTCTTACAATCGACAATAGCACGTAAAGTATACATACCCTTAGACTTCAAGCGAGTGATTTTCGGCATTGGGCGAGTAACTATAATTCTCATATTATGCATCATCTTTTATTCAGATAGATCCATATTCTTCATATACTTTAACATATAAGATAATAATATCTTTTAACCTTAAAAATTTTAATTAAAATATTATGTTATCCAAAAACTGAATAAAATCTATTATTATAATGAAAATAACTTTAAATAAAATATTTTTTTGGGGTCAGCTTGGCCATTTCTATTTCAAATAAATATAAATCCATAAAGCCACAATTTTTATGGGCACATCAGAGTTGAAAAGAGATCGCTCTGACTTTGGTCTCTTAATTAACTTAAATTTATGATCCAAACTTTGTTAAAATTATCGAAATATTTAAACAATTTAATAAAATTATATCTTAAAATCATAAAGTTCTTCATCACTAAATCCCATCAGATTCAGTCAAAACAGCAATACTGCAGAATTAACTTAGCCATCTGCAGTGCTTAACAAAGCCATTCCAAATTATTTAATTAGTTAGTAAAAGAACAACAACATCAATAATAAAAGAGACCAAAGAATAAAAATGGAATCAGTCCAGCTTACCCCTCACGGCCTCTAATCATTATTAATTAAATCCTAAAACTGCAGCCACAGAGTGTTTTGTGTTTGCTGGAAATCTGGGGGACATAAACTTCTACCCTCATATATATAAATCAATCCATCTTCTCTTATCTCCCACATCAGATATTCTAATCTCCAATCTTCTGCTTGCTTCCATCTCTCTTACAAATCTCTCTCCTTTTCTGTGTGGAAAAATGCCTGTTTGCAGTGGAAGCAGATGCAGTGAAGAGAAAGAGATGGACTTGCTGTATCTGGAGATAGAAGAAAGGATTTTGCTCCTCATTTCAGATGATGAAGAAGAAGATGGAGCGGTGAAGAAGCCGGAGAGAGCGGCTCAGCTTCCTTCCAATAAGTATTCAGTATTCCTTGGTGCGAGTTGGTATAATAATCCTTTTAGTGAGCAGCTGCAGCAAACGAAGCAACGAAGAGATGGCTGTTATGGAAGGGAGAGTTTTGGGAAGAAGAATAGGCCGTGGATTCATTACTGGGACAGGAATGGTGGAGTTCGGAGTGCTGTGTCTGAGATCAGCGGGAGGAGAGGGACTGGAGTTTTCCTACCAAAATCTATGGCTCATAGCTGTTGATATGGAAATGAAGGGATTGATTGGTCTTGATATGCACAGATATTTCATTTATTATTATTTTTTTAATAATTGGTGTTTAAGGTTATTTGTTTTTTTATGTGATTTGTAAAAAGAATTTATGTGATAATATTGATGTTCATGCTTGAGGGAGTTGAAACTTGAATGCTAGCTTTTTTGCCATTTCTATGATTGGATGCCACAGGTTTTTGGAGGCCGGTGGCATGTGATATTGGCGAGTTGTGGACGAGTAACCATAGCAATGACAACATGATGTAATTTGCGGTGTATTTAAAAAATCTCTCAAATATATTAAATTCACAATATACTTATTTTGAATTGTTGGTTTTGTTTTAAATTTGTGCACATAAAAATGTGTCAGCACGAATCTCAAAGTAAATGGGCGGCTCAGAAAGAATGTGCGGACAATCGAGTGTAGAAGCAGACGACAGGCATTTCCAGATGTATTGGCGAAGGAAACAGCTTATCCGAACGATCGGCAGAGAAGACGCCGAGAGAAAATCCTATAGGGTGAAAATCAACCTTCAGGACGATCGACGGCGAGCACATTTTGCCCTGACGCCCAAGGGACATCAGCCTGTCTGTTTCATTGACGAGGATCTTCCCCAAAAGGGAAAACCATATAACGATATCATCGTAATAACGACGTTAATAAAAATAGGGAGTATCCTCATTGATAGAGGGAGTTTTGTAAATGTGCTATTCAAATAGGTATTCGACAAGCAAATCGTCACTTATGATCAGATAACCGCACTGACCGGTCTGTTGTATGGATTCTCGGGCGAAAGAAGGGAAGCACTGAGAGTGGTCGGGCTCCTAGAATTTGGTGAGAAAATGAAAATAATTTGCACTCACAAAAGATTTTCTCATGGTACATTTGCCCCAACTTACAATGTTGAATTTTGTCAACCACTGCTGAATAATTTCAGAGCGGTAGTCTCAACTTGCCAAGTCGTTGTCAGGTTTCCTGGAGATGGAAAAATCTTCACGATCATGGGTGACCTGGAGCAG